GCATCTTAGCTCCCGACTGCTCCATCGTGGCACTGACACTACACTCGCGTACACACGACTCGATCAGAGAAACGCGATGCCGACGAGAGCTCGATTAAATGTTCAAGGGGTCTGTGGGAATGATAACTAACGCGCCGATACGCACGTGCTCCGCGTCGCTCGTCGGCTCGAAACGTAATGACTCGACAACGGATAAACACGGACAAGTACGCGACGCGCGGGAATGGGCAAAGTCATCTCCCGCCAGGCACCGTTGCCGCTATTGACAATGAACACAATACGTACATTCGGTAGCAAAAAGACAACAACAATCCAACGGTCACGGAATATCCCATATCTATATGGTGGTATCAAAATATATCAAAATTATCGACGATATCGATTTTACCGTGACATTCATTGATCATTGCCAGTTAATATGGGATGATTAATTTACACTAGGCTTCGGATCGACTCGTTTTTATGTAAAATTAGTCAGTGTGCCTGGCCACGATGATGACCAGAAACTAACCCCAAGACGGAACACAGGACGCAGGACGTAGCAGCAGTCGGCGACAAATGACTTATAAATCTTTTGCTTCTTTTAAATTTAGATATCATTGAAATTCCCAGTGTCAATAAAAAAAACAATAAATTATAATAAAGGGAGGATCGTTATTTTATTTATCCATTAAAATCCCATTATTTTCTGATTTAATTATTTACTTATCACGCATGCTCAATCTGCGGTCGTGTAAATTACGTGATTAATACACTGCTTATTGAAATTGTGAATAAAGATGAAATACAGGTGGAATATCGACAATTGAATATTAAATAATTCTGAAGCAAGCTCGTCTTTATGACTCAGCACGTAGGAAATCATTTATAACGTCAAAGGACAATATCCTGTATAATGTCATACCTCGAGATTCTCCATCGGACCTTCAAGTCCGACAGAATTTGCATTTAATGTTAATGCAGAACCAAAATGTCGACTCGGGTGCACTTCAGGAACCGTAGTACTCTGTACGTGTGTGTGTACTCGCTGTTATTTACATTAATAACGTAGAATATTAATGTGGAATATTAATGTACGTAGAATATTCAACGAGCCCTCCTCGCGCGGAGCTACGAAAATTAAAATCGAATGTCACGATCGATCGTTCGTTCGTTCGTTCGTTCGTTCGTCCGGTCGGTCGGCTCCAAGTTATATAGCTCAAAGGAATTCCTCATAAACTGCAGCGCGCCGCGCAAAATTTACAGCACGTCCGGCCCGCCACCCTCTCGCCGGCCCCTCCCCGACCCTTAACTTCTTTTGTCCGGCGAGTGGCCAGGCCAGACCGCGCCGTAAATTACATTACAGCGAATAATTATTGTTCTTCATTAAGTAGGAAGTGCGCGGAGTTGCATGTTGCGACAAAAGCGTTCGACATTAGAGATCTGCCACCACCGAAGCAACCCAGCTCCCGTTGCTGCTCTTTGTTCGAGGAATGATATATCGCGCGTCGCCACCACCATCGTTGCCGTCGTCGTCGTCGTCGTCGTCGTCTCTCGAGGAGCGCCGCGCCAATTTGCACGAAAGACACGAGGCAAAAATTCGCGCTAGGGAAACGGAATGGAGAAACGAGTGCGGCCGTGGAGCAACGTCGACAAAATCGTGGATTTAGCTTGCAAATCGGTAACGCGGCGTAGCTGCGGGAACGATAAATTGGTATGGCCAACTGCTCGAGCCAACGAGCCGTGTCCAGTTTGCTGGCCCTCAGCAGAGAGACAGAGAGAAAGGGAGAGGAAGAGAGACGCGAGTCCTCGCGCGGGGGCGGCGACGAGGCCGTGAGGGGCACCACGCCGCGGGGGGCGGAAGGGCGAGAGGGACTATCCCGACATTCACCGCACGCTATTCTTCATACTCCATTATCCGTGCTCTACTCCACTCTACTCCATTATGCCGGCACCGCGTATAAACGACGAGTCGCGCCGCCCCCGACCCTCCCGACGAACCACCGTGTGTCCATCAGGTCGTCCTCTACCTCGCTGTGTGCAACAGCGATAAACACTAGCCGGTGCGGTGGCTCGGTTATCGAATGAGAAAAGTACGCCGCTTTAAACGAACCGCTTCGTAATTTCGCGTCAAACTTCACTGAGGGCAAGAATGCGTCGGTCCTTCGGCGATTTTTCAAGTCGACTTTTCGCACTCCCTTCCCCTCCCCAACCACTGACCAACTCCAGCTCGAATATGTACAGGTATATACCCGGCTTGGACCTCCCAGCAGCTTTTGTGTCGTGTATAAAATTCTTGCCTTCGTTTTGTGTATGGTGTCAGGAAGTACGAGCACATTTCTCCAGCTTACCAACGTTCTAACTGACTCGAAATTTTCCAACGATATGTGTTACATCTACACTGTCTGGTCATTGTGTCCTTTGCACACCAGAACAATCCCTCCTTATCTCTCTCTCTCTCTCTCTCTCTCTCTCTCTCTCTCTCTCTCTCTCTC